TCTTTCCTGCCTATGCAGGGGGTCGGACTCGATGATCTATTGAGGTCCCTTCTGACCCTAACATCTATGAATCTATTTGTGGCAACAGCCCATCCTTGCTCTGATCGCTCTAGGGTCACAGGGAGGGATTCGAGGGGCTTTTCCCAGCTCTGCTGCCTGCTGCTTCTGTGTGCTTGAGCATATCACTTACCTTCCCTATGCCATGCCTACAAGGTCAGCATGCCAGGGTTGGCTGCATTACCATTAAGTACACCATGCTGCTCCACATGGGCTGCCTCTAGAACTGGAATTAGTGGAACTGCATCCAGGCAGCACTTCGTGTGGGCTAATTAGCACTGGTGACTGACAGTCAATTAGCCTGCTCCCTTGGCAATTAGCCTGCCTTCAGTGCTGCGCAGGTACAGCCCCACTGCGGCTGGAATGGGAAGCAAGTCGTGTGCAGCACTGCAGAGTGCTTGAAGGTAGTTCTGGACACAGTGAGGTTTCTGTGGGGGGGGCATGGCCTTAGTTTCCTTCTCCGTGAAATGGGGCAATTGTATGGACCTTGTCACATGTTACACTTCGGATGCATTAACTGCACTCAAAAGACCAGAATCTGAACATTCAAGCAGTAAAAGATGTGCTAAGTGCCATCAGTGTCTACCAAAGTTAAGCCTTTTCTGGTGGGGAGTATCTCCAGATCCTATTATCTAGCATGTTGAGGGACTCTCCAACTGTTCCACGGAGATAACATGATCAGGAGACTCCAGTGCGGTGCTGAGGCTGAGACCTAAAAACAGCTGTTTGTTGGTCCCAGCCCCCACGGCACACCGTAGCCCATGGGAGGCTTCAGTGGCTCTGGAGCTTGGGGTAAGTGTTTCATTTAGACTGCCATAAGCGTTACCTTGTGACTGCTGAGAAAACTTTCTAACTCGTAGAAATGCTTACAGTGATCTCAATAAAACAACTTCTAAGTGTAACGTGTGACACGTCCCTTAACGCTCCTCGGGAGTCTCTGACAAAAGTCGCGGCAAAGAAGACAAGCTCTTGTTTGGTTCATAACCATGGTGCTCTGCTTTCTGTGTAGTGATTGCAAGAGAGCAGGAAAGCACCACTGCTACCTTAACGGAGCCAACACAAAAAGGTGAGTGAGTTGTTTTTTTGATTTTTCCTGGTCTCCACAGGGCCTGGACATGCCACATTTTAGTGGTGTAATGGGTCTTTATACCAGTGTGAAAAAAAAACAAGCCTGGGACATAGCCTACTGCCCTGCACCAGTGTAAATTATTCAGATCTGGTGTACAATGACCCAGGGAAAAGTCAGGAGTGAAACTAGGCAGTACAGTGTCACACTGGTCTACCTGCAACTTATCCAAGGGAAGTTGGGTGTTACCTGCGCCCTGCCGCCTCGTGATGAGGCTCTGTGCCTGCTTCGAGGACCTGCACCCTCTGCATGGTTTACACTGCTGTGCCACACTGATGTGGATGACACTGGTATGTGTCATGTGTCCAGGCCCACAACGATGCAACTTCTTAAGTGAGTGCTGCATGTCCCCCTGCTTAAAAATCTACTCACAATGATCAGATTACTCCCTTGTGTCACTGGGACAACATGGTATCACTGGAAATACTGAACAGAACCACTGGTGAAACTAAACCTGCAAATGAATGACACGGGCTTGGCATTTGGCAGCAAAAGGGCACTTTGTCTAAGGGATGTAATATTATGACACTGCTGTGTTCAACACAATCATTTTCACCCTCTTTACTGGGAGACAAAAAATGTGCTCATTTTATAGAGAAGGAGGCAAGTTAAAAACCATATTTAAACAAAAAACATGACATTGTACTGTAACAAAACCCTAGGTTGTTGGTAGGGTTGCCAACCCTTCAGGGTTGTCCTGGAGTCTCCAGGAATTAGATATAAATCCCCAGGAAATGCTGAGAGTCACTTGGGAGAGATAAATGAGAGGGCATTTATTAAAACAAATATTAAATGTTGAATCTAGTGTATATAGTAGTCCAGTGGGTTTTTAAAATGTAATAGCAATGTGCATTTGCCTTTGTGATGATGTCTGCACACCGTAATCTGTAACTGATGGATGCAAGCACACGGGCACGTTTGCATTGCATGTCATGGGCACGTTGGCGCTCCAGAAACCTCCCAGAATAGATTCAAACAGAATTGTCAACCCTAGTTGTCAGGGGGCTCCCAGAGACACACCCCAGGGTTGTGTAAGCTTATGGGGCCCCACTCTGCTGAATGGCCATACCCAGGTTATTAGTTTGCCCAGAAACCATAGGCACTTTGGTAAAGTGATGGAAAGCCAAAAGTGTTCACTACAAGGGAGAACAAATGGTACAAAAAAGATGTGATCAAATGCTTTGACAACAGAGCATAGAAAATCAAAACCACCACCTCGCGCTCATAAATGTTTCTGTGAAAATCTCCTGGGGTCAACCTTCCCCCCCAGTCCCAGGTCGCCCCCTCAACCGGGGACCTCCAAGTCCCTCTCCTCACAGGGAGCGCCCTCTCTAGTCGCTCCCTTGAGAGTCCTCAAGAGTATTTCTGCCTGTGGATCTGTTTCACCATTTTGTTGCATTTATATTTTACACCTCACTGAACACGAAGTGCAAAACTAAACCAGGCAGTTTCACTTTCTGGAACTTCCTGGCAGAAGTGCAACATGCTGGGATTGCAGCCGCTGCTGGGGAACGTTTCACTCGAGGCAAAGAGCCGGCATTTCTTTGCCCATTTCTCGGTGGGATTTTCAAAGGTGCAAACAGGAGTTTGTTGCCTGGCTCTCATTAGCTACAAAGCCCTTTGAGCTTTTGAAAATCTAAGAATATATTACCATTAGATTTTCAAATACATTCACAGGCCCTTTAGGATCATGTCTCATCTTCTACACCATGCAATATTTTCATGAACCTGAATGCTCTTGAATGTTTTGCAGTTACTACAGTGAAAGACACAGACACAGCCCTGGATACAAACAAAGGTATGGACGGCATCATCCCACACTGGTTTGGGGCACCTCATTCTGGTTTTGATTGGACTTTTATAAGGCCCATATAAATAGACTGAAATAGATCAAGAATTATCCAGTGACACGGAATAGGGAAAGTAGGAAGAAGGATTTTCACATTGGTGCTATCTATGATTCAGTTGCTATCCTTTGTATTGTCCATTGTGGCCATCTCTCTCCATATTACAATACAGAGCTGTGCACGGATACCAGAACAATGCATCCAGAGCTATCAGAAGTAGAAGAGCCATGGTAGGGTGGGCCACGGCCTGGATTATTAGCCATACTAAGAACAGGGTATATTAGTCCAAGCATAGCACAGTGCTAAAGTGGCTACATAGCTTCAAGTACTCAAGTTCATTCAGAACAATGTCAGTCACTTGACACTGCAGAGTACCTGTTGACGTGAACGTCATGTTATCACCTCAGTTTTTCTTCCTGTAAAATGGGTATAGGTTAGTGGCTATAGTGTTGTTATTGTTGCTGCTATTTACTATTTGTTGCTATTTTTTGTTGTTGGATACTCAATTTGTTGTTGTTGGATATTTGTTGTTCTTGTTGTTGAATAATATTTGTCTCTCAAGCAATTTCTTAAGAACCAAGTATTCAAAAGCCAGCACCCTCCCCTAAACAAATAGACCCAAAAGGCCCAAAAAGTCTCTGCCCACTGACAGATAAGAGTTTTTTGAGCAATTAACCAGGAAAACAGCTAATGGCTGGCACATTTTCTGCTTCTATATAATTGGGACAATCCTTTACCATCCAAGCACAACATGGACACTTTTAAACGTATAATAGGAAGAGGTGACTTTTTTGTTGTCTTTCACCAGCACAGCTCTTTTTGCTAGATTAGGGTACAAAGAAATGAACCAGGGCAGGGATGCTCTGGCCTTCTGCTTCAAATGCCATTTCTCTTGGGTCTTCTTCCCACCTGTGGCAGTCTGAACCTGTGCTCTGGGATTGTGATGGCATCCTACTGTTGTGGAGGTTAATTTGCCACCCAGCTACAAGGGGCCTGTTGTTTGCCTCAGTATTTCTCCTTCCTGCTTTTATTATTCCTTCCAATCTAAGCAGGGAGGGGTAGAAGGATATTTCATTGCAAATGTGCTTTCAGGATTTATGGAGGCTGCTTTCACAGTGGAGGGAACAACCACAGCCCCTGCAGATACCCACTCTGCAAACTCAAAAGAGAGACCCACGGAAAATGCTCCTGCCAGGACAGCCAACAAAGGTGAGTGCCAAATGAATCAAGTTCATTTTCCATTATAATTTGCAGCACATCTTTGTTCCTGTTTGCTGCCATCTTTGGCTCGGCATTTCCCCGGGGCCATGTGGTCAGGCTGGGTTACCGGCACAGATCTGTCAGTGATCCCTGTCTGAATCCCTGAGACTGGGATTGTCCCTCCTCACAACAGCATCTCACCAGGTAGAGCGCTGACCCAGAGAGGTGATTTGAGCATACAGGTCTCACTCATACTATTCAGCCTGGGACAAAATTGTCTGTCCAGCAAGGATCTGCACAAATTTTAGAAGTTTGTTCATGTTGCAGACTGACATCCTGAACTTTGGGACACACAAACAACCTTCTGTCTTCCTGAAAGTCTAATATCTATATAATGTCATCTGCAGACACAGCCGTGAAGATAGGAGGAGAGGGCACAGCCTACTCTACTGTATCTCCAGAAGTGCCACCTTCTGATGGGGAGCTGGAGCTTGACCCCTATGTGGGCAAAGGTAGGCACAGAATTTTTCTAAGTCAACTCTCAGATAAAATGAATGACCCACTCTAGTACCAACTACACTTACAAATGGTTTATGGAGGATTACATCTGGTGTAAGCAAGTAACAGACATGAGTAACGTGTTACTGATGGTTATAAGCACATCAGCAGATGTAGTTATTAAGTGTGGCGTATAACAGTGCTAAAACCTTCTACTTGCCTGCTTCTAACCACCCGCCAGGATAGACCTCGCCTTTCTATAAGGAGCTGTTTATTAAAATCCTTTATATTTTTTCATATAGGTACCTCAAATATAAATCTATTGTCACATACTATCCTGCACTAAAATGTATACAAATAACCCAGGCAAATACCAGCTGTAGTTGAAGAGAGTTATGCAATTAAAAAAAAAAGTTATCCCAGCCTTCCCTCTGGTTTTCAAACAATCTTACCACACTTATCATCACAAGCAAACTCCCTGCTAAGCACCACGCTCAACCAGAACCAGAGTTTGCCAGAACAACACCTGCAAAACCTTCCACCAAAATATCTCCATCACTGAAGCCAACAAACACAACAAAGCCACCAGGATCTAGGGATCCTACATGCCTATCCCAACAGATGATTCACGGTATCCACAGGGTTACCATATTTCTAGTTTCAAAAAAGAGGACACCTGTTGGAGGGGTGGGGGTATTATGCTTGGGGGGGACAGTGATATTTTCATGACCTGCCCCTGCCCTTCACTCCCAAGCTACAGCCCCTCCAGCCCTGCTTCTGCCCCTCACTGCTGACCCACTGTCCCCCGCCCCCAGACCATGCTGGTGCCCCTCACTCCCAACCCACAGCCCATCCTTGCTGATACCCCTCACTCCCAATCTGCAGCCCCCTGGCACTGCCCGTGCCCCACACTCCCAATCCAGAGTCCCCCGTCCTCCTTGGTGCCCCTCACTCCCAAGCCACAGGCCCCCCAGCCAGCCCTGTCAGTGCCCTGCACTCCCAACTAGCAGCCCCCTGGTTCCCCCAGTCCTGCTGGTGCCCCTCACTCCTAACCCGATGCCCCCTGCTGCCCCCAGCCCTGCAGTGTCTCCTGGAAGTCCTGCTCCTGCAAGCACAGACACCGGCCCTGGTGCTGCCAGCTTGGCCACACAGCTCCCTGCTGCCCCCAAAGCCCCCACCCCTTCCCCTGCTGGAGGGGCAGGCACCTCCCCTATCTCCCCCTGTTCTGTTGCAGCCCCAGTGCCTGGACAGCTTCCCCCAGTGTGACCAGGCACTCAACCCCCTCACATACCCATCCCCTCACTCCACCCCCCATGCATACACACAGCCCCCCCAAACAGTGCCCAAGCCCTGGCCCTCCAACCCCTGCCTCCCATAGACTTACCTGATTCCAGCTGGGGGCACTGCTTCCACCACCCTGCCTGCTTGGATGCCGGCTACATGTGTGCGCAGATGCACATGATGCCCCCTACCTCCAGTCACCCTCCTCCTGCTTCCCCCAGCTCCAAGAAGCTCCTTGCTAGGGCAAGCTAGGAAGTGCCAGAAACAACTTTGAAGCTAAGCAGAGTAAAATCCTGAACATTTGTTCATATTTAAAAAAACCCACCCGCATGGAAATGGGAGGGCCCAAAAAGAGGACATGTCCAGGAAAACCCAGACATATGGTAACCCTATTATTCCATGCCCTGGTGGAAACAATGTAGGTGAAAGTAAACCATTACCATATTCCAGAATAAACTCATGTAGGAAAAATGGTAAGGACAGAAATGTCCTATCACTGGTCGGAGAACCTGGTTCATATAACACTGACTCCACACTTCTGCTTTCATAATTCTTATTCTCAAAGCCAGCCTACACAGTACTTTCAGAAGACAGGCCTGCACTCAGAAAGTCATAACTTTCCTAGACACCAAAAACAATGAATTTAGCAGAAACATTGGTTTTCTGGCTCGTTAACCCTTACTTCTTCCTTTGCCAACTCTGTTTTGCTCCACAGGTGATAAGGGTACACTTCTCTTCCAAGCAGTCTTACTGATTAACCTAATTAAGTTAAAGTGAAAGCAATTGCTCTAATTTACCTAGTTTGGATTATGACTGCCTCATTCTCAGATGAGATCAAGGCACATGAAGTCGAAAAGCTCGTCTCTCCCAGCTGCACATGTTGATTCAGGAGAAGCTATTACCTCACTGGAAACCTTGCATCCTTAGATACAAATGCTGCAACCAAAATGAAATCAGAAGAGATTTTCTTGTGTTTTGTCTTTTGACCAACAGTCTAATTGCACCTTGAAGTGATATTTTGCTACTTATAGAAAGCAGAGAAACTAAAATGACTTCTGTTCTCCCACTTGGAGAATTCCAAACCTCCAGGCACCCCCTACCCCCCCGCCTGCTTTTCAGCCCTGCCGTCTGTAGATAACTCTGAGAAGGTTCAATCAGTCATTCTGCAGACTTGCAATTAGGGTATGCCCCAGCTGCCCTGCAAGGACCCCCTGTGCTTGTTACAGACAGTGAAAGGAGCAGCCCCAAAGCAGAAGACGGGGAAGGAGAGGCAGGGTCAGAGTGCAGGAGAAATCCAGATGCTGACTGAGTTCTTAGATGCCAACTTTTCCCTGTCCCTCTTAGACATGGGAATTCCTGGGAATTATGGCTATTCCTGGTCACTGCATGAACTCATGGGCTCAGTAGATGAACATGAGCAGGCAGAGTCCCTGGAGTGACAAGACTGGTGCAGAGCAGGGCCACCCTCTTGAAGCTGAATCCAAGACACGTTGATGGTTTTCTGCAGGCAGGGAAGCACGCTCCCACCTGAAACGCTGCTCAGGGTTCCTCTCTTGACCAGTGGCCTTCTTGTGTGATAGAAACTACGCAGGGGCTTCAGGGGCTGCACACTGATAGGCCATATCAACCCATCTAGCCAGCACAGGAACTCTGCTATAATATTATGGTACTTGGACCTTGTGGTTTGAATGGAACTGGAGCTGGAGGGTTAGGTTCAGGAGGTTTTTAGTTTGGTGTAAACTCAGGAGTGGAAGATGGGGCCAGGTCACTACCAGACAAATAGCCACTGATGTGGCCATTTTCCTGCCATTTCTCCTGCTTACTGACTTACAGTGTTAGGCACTGAACAACACATAGCCAGAGGCAGGCAAAGGTTGTACAGTCCAAACAGACAAGACAGACAAAAGGATCACCATTAAGTATGGTTGCATAGATAAGGAGAAAAGCGGTCAAATGGCTTACCCAAGGTCAGACAGGAAGAGCTGGAAATTCAACCCTAGATCTCCCACATCAAATCCTTAACCACAAGCCCATTCTGCCTCTGCCATCATGGCAAGTACACATCATCAGAGACATCCCTACAGCAGATGCTGAAGAAAATATGTCCTTCTTCCGGCAGAAAACGGACACTGTGAAGTCCCTGCTCTCCTGCTGTGGCTTTCTTTTGCATCAGCTGTGAATGCCAACAATTCTGTTTTTCAAATGAGTGAGAATCTGATGCACCAAATTCCTCTTTCCCATAACCTTAAAAATAGCTTTGTTTATCATGGAAGAATGGCACCACTGACGTGTGAATCAGTACATAAGAGCAAAGCTTTTTCATCACATTCTTGTTTCATTTGCATCTTCTCTTTGCAGCTGGGAAAAGCTCTTTCTTCATTAAAATCGGTTTTCCCACTTTTGCTATTCTCTGCCTTCTTTTCCTAATGATGTCTGGCTGCTTTAACAGCATTTAATTCCTTTTCGGTGCCTTTGTGCTGGAGATCTCATTTCACCTGTGTTTCCCTTTTCCATAAAGAGATAAAGTCATGATGGTCTATTCTAAGCAAAGGCAATTTGTGCTGAACAGCCAGTTTACAAACACTCACCTGGAGAGAACAGCAGGAGCAAAAGATGTTATAGGGGGCATTTTAGCTAGTTTGATAGTCAAAAGATTGGTTCCAGGACGGAAGGGGTCTTGCAGAATCTCACAAATTAAAGAATGGAAATGAAGGAAAATAAAATCCAGTTGAAGTCACGGGCAATGAAAAGGCAGGTATAGGATTTCTCAAGTCATCCAAAAATGGGATCTAGTTCCTTGAGGCTAAGTAGCACTTACTGGGCTTGATTCAGCAGCATGTTACACCCACAAGGTAACTTCTGTTCTAGTCATGCCTGCAGGTCCTGGCCATTGTGTGGGAGTAGGTGTAATAAAGAAATGCCTAAGGATTTGCATTCTATACACACAAAAAGAGAACAGGTGTATAAAACAGATGAGAAGGGAGCACAAGACAAAAGCAAAACAATCTTGATCAACTTAAGAATAGCTCATCAACGCCACTTAGAAACAGTGGGAAAACTGCAATGATTATGGTGAGGAAGGGTCAGTAAATTTAGACTCCTTTGGAGACATGTTCCAGTAAATTTAGACTCATTGACATATTCGTGAAGCCTCAGAGAGGACATGTGGATTATACAAGACTACCTAGCAAGGAAAACCATTTGCATTTATTTTGTGATGCCTCTCAAACACTCCGTACTTTCCAAACACAGCTGCAGAGGTGGTGCTTACCCTGATGAATGTGTAAGTTCTTAAATGTTACCTGTTCAACAATGCATTTTTCTTTACAGTCTGCGACCGATTTACCTTTCTGCAAATAAGAGGGAATGGGAAAGTGAAGCAGGAGCTGCCCCAGCTAGGAGAAATGCTGTATTGCTTGACTGACCGATGTCCACAGGAATTTGAATCTTATGGCTGCTACTGTGGCCAGGAAGGAAGAGGTTCTCCTGCAGATGTACTGGACAGGTGCTGGCTCCTTGACACCTGCTAAGTATCTGTGTTTACTATAGCAGTTCTAGGGGACCATCCAAGGCTGCGTAGAGAGAGCCCATGCCCTCAAGAACTTATGACCATCTAAACACAGAAGAAAGACAAAACATAGAGGAAGGCAGTGGGACATATGAGCAGAGTCATCAGTGTAATGGTGGTCAATGTCCTATTAGTGGTTCTGGTTTTTGGAGGATGAAATTTGTTTAGGAGGCAAGCTGCTAAATGGTAAAGAAGGGAATGGAGAGGAGCAAAAGGAGTAGAAAGGAGGAATAAAGGGAGAGAAGAAAGAATACAGTGGAGCAAAAGCATAGTCAAGAAATGGCTGGGTTGGAAAGTATTTTGCAGACAGAACTATTGTACCTGCCTTTGGAAGAGTATTATCACCAGGGATGAAGCACTGTCCCACTGAAGTCCGTGCAGTTAGGATTCTCCTTCTGCAAGGGAGACAAATTGTTCTTGTTGGCACTGGAGGTTACTTCTAGGAGCAAGGAAATTAAATTAAGGCAAATTCAGGAGAAGGGAAAGCTACCGCAGGGTGAGTTCCACTGGGTATGGAAGAGTGTCCTGGGAGGGCACTGGTGGAAACCTTAATTGTGTGGGGTCTTCTCAGGTTTGAGTAGTAGAACTTATACCAAAAAGACCTGACCTGCTGTGGCAGGACTAAAGACCGGCTAAGTATAGGTTTCTTCTGGTCCTAATGTATAACTCTGGCCACAGATATTTTGGCTCTCTACCAAGCCTGGGACCACTGTTGACAGAGTTGCCAACTGTCCGTAATTTCAGAGTCCACAAAGAAAAAAGGCTAAACATGCTCGTCTATAAAGACCATAAAAATTGATCTGTTCTTACAAAACTATGGATTTGTGTTGAAGGACAGAGAGAACAGAGGAGTGCCATCTTGTGTCTCAGTGGGAGCACAGCTTAGCATGTTGCAGGGAGCTCTCTGGCAATGGGCTCCGTTATGGCCCACAGGAGCCTCTGTAGCCCCCTTGCCATCCACCCCAAGCCACGTGCTGCTGCTGTATCTCGGTAACTGCCTTCCTGTAATGGCTACTCACCTTGCAGGTAGGCAGGGCTATGTGGCCTGGGCAGTCAGAGATAGTTGATGGGAAGGGAGGTGTGGGCTGTGTGGCTGGGGTGGAACTGCGGGGTTTGGAGAGGTGGTAGTTGGGTGGTTTGTGCCAGGGTACAGGGAGCAGAGCCAACAGGGGTCAGTTGAGGGATGGACTTGGGGGCAGCACAGTGCAAGCTGTGGTCAGAAATATCAGGGAGTGGGATAGGTAGGGGACCCCTGAGATGGGGGAAGCACAGTTCACAGCCATTGTGCAGTCAAGTAAGACTGTTAAAAGCTACTGCTAAACATCTAAATTTGAACCTGGCTCTTGTTATTGCTGTCTAGTGCCTGGCAGAAGGGTTTCTCTTGCACAGTGAAAAACAAATGTCAGTAAAGACATGTCAGTAAAAAAGTTTGATGGTCAGTAAAAAGTTTGCAGTTTGTTGGCAAACCCCCCCTCCCCAAAAAACAACTCCTCACAAAAAATTTGTGGGTTGGCAATCCTGACTGTCAAGAAACAAACCTTTCCCACTCACTCCTGCTCCAGGAATACCCAACACTAGCAGTTTTGCAGTGCAGACAGCATAGAAAAATCCTGTTTGCGCCCACTAGTGCTTAACCCAGGCTCTGTCATGGGGCATGAATTTAGGATCCCTATAAGCTGCATATGCTGCCTGACAGATTGGGCACACATGACGTAGGCAGAGCTTGTTTCTCTGGGTGGGCTCATGCTCAGCAGGGAAGTAGCTGAAGGATTTAACCATTATGATGCTGGCAGTTTCCAGTTACATTCTTAGCTGTACTAATTATGCATTCAGTTTTCAGGAGAATTATTTATATACTTATAGTCATAAAGAGATTGGGGTGTCCTTCTAGGGGCTTGCAACTAATTTAAGACAGAAAAGCCAGGGGACCAAGAGGCATTAGGCAGGAGCAATGATGTCAGAGGAAGCCGAGATAGAAAAAAAACTATCTAAATAACATGTTTAAAAATAAAAGCCTATCCATTAAAGACCAACACAGGATCAATGCACCAAAAAGATAAAAAAAACAAAATAGAAGGAAGCAGGCTGCGATGCAGGGAGATACAGTGCATTAGAGAAAATTGAACATTTGGGTCAAGTCAAACTCACCTTTATATGGGTGAGGAGCACCCAGATGCTGTTTGGGCCACTTATTTTAGCTCCCACTCCTCCATGTGCAACTTGCCTTATTCCTCTGAGTACACTCAGAAGGGATCCACTATAGCTACTGCCCTGGGAAGGCACATTAATTCCATGCAAGTCCCTGGAAACTTAGCTGCAGAACCTTGACACCAGAGGAGGAGGAAGGGCTTCCTACACTTTTAGCCTAGTAGCCAGGGCACTTGCCCAGGTAGTGAGAAAGCATCCCCAAGATGTAAGTAAGGATAACCTTCATGTCCCACTTCCCAGCAAAATGCTCCAACTACCTGGCCATGGATCAGGCACTGCCAAGAATCACCCCCACCCCTCCTGTAGAAGCTGGTTCATTTGGGGAGCCAGGAGGGGAAGGGTCCAGTGATTTATTCAGTAGTTCGGAAAGACAAGGGCTCCTGGATAATCCGGGGGGCACTCTGTATTCAACAGCAACAAGGACACTTCTGTCCCACTGGGGACAGGAGACAGAACCCAGGGCCCACCCATCCTTCCAGGCCAGTGCCTCTCACTGAGCTACACTCACTCTGGCTTGCACTCCTCCTCCATTCTGTGACGTCAAGAGTTACGCACCATCTAAGGGTGAAGTAGGATATAAAATCCATGCAGGTGGCTCCGAAATACAACTTAGGCAGTTAACTCCAGCCACATAAGTGCTACTTACACATTTTGAGAGAGCTAGATGTGGGCTTCTCTATTTCAGGTGCTGTTTCTCTCATCACTGCTGTATGGAACAAGTTAGAAAACTCGGATGCCATCCGGAGAGAATTTTGAGATCTGAAGTTGTGTGTTTCGATCATAAACCAAAGTGTAAGTGTGGGGTTAGATAATTAAACTTATGACATTCCTCCTGAGCCAAACTGAGATCAGTGTAGAATTATAACAAGAATAACCTCACAGAGCTTAGATTGACAAGATGTTGTTATGCTAGCTGGAGTCTACATGCCATTGGAGCCCGTCTTAAGCAGGAAAAAAGTGATCACATTAAGAATGTTCTTAACAAACACAAGCTACTAAACCTGACCAAAACTTGCTTATCGTTCCTGGTGAAGCCAAGGCCTGTTTTACATAAAGCAACAATGCGGCTCAAGAGTAGACTGAAAGAGGTGTGTCTACCAGTAGTGGAACACCACGAACATAAGCAGGTTAATTTTTGATCCCACGGTGATCTATGGGAGCTGCAGCCTCTCAGCCTCTCCAAAAACCTGTTTACATTTTGGTGTCAAGATATGGATTTCGTAGCATCTCTTTGACACCCAAGATTGAAGGCTTTTCTTGTAAATGTTACTCAGCCTTGTGGCACAGGTGACATCATTTCAAAACTAAGCACAATAATTAGCGTCCAAATTTCAAACTTTTAACATCTTAAATTTTTCGTCTTTTTAAGGCATCGGCTGGAGTATGTGTGAGAAGCTACTGTGTTCCTGCGATCAGACAGCTGCTGAGTGCATGGCTGCTGCCGTTTTCAATGACAGCTTGAAGGTCCCGAGCCAGCAAGACTGCCAAGAGGAGAAAGCCCTGTGTTGGAGTGGAACACATGGAAGGCCTTCAAGTGGCTCAGGAATAGGCACTAGAGCATCCAGCTCTGAGGAGAGCAGTGAGGAGGCAGGTCCAAGGAGTGTTTTAAGAAGAGTAAAGAGAGGTGCACGCTTTTCATTTGGAAAGGATTACTCTGCACCACTGCACGGGAGATAGCCAAGCTTGATCACCTGGTTGTAGAATGGCATAAAGGGCTCGAGAGTCAAATATTGTGTATCCCATTTTGTCTTTGAAAATTCTCCTTTCCATTTCCGTACAGATAACTGATTGAAAGATAGACTAGGCTGCAAGTATATCACACTACAGTATGGAACTCCTTAGTAGAGAGAAGCCTGCCTTGAGGGTCATCTCTAGTAGGCCAGACCCTGTCTAAAAGTACCAAGTACAGTTTGGTTCAGAATAAAGCCCCAGTTGATTTTTGTTAATGGCTTTGACAGTTGTCTAAGGCCAGACCCCTCACTCTATATCATGGGTGATGATCCTTGCTGAAAACAAAAATAATTGAAGAGTTGGAATTTCAGATCTTTTTATTACAAGCCCCCTAGAGAAAATTCTTCCTGAACTTCCTCTACCGGGACTATAATGTGAAAATGTATCAAATTCTAAATCCAACGAATATTACATTATTAGACCCAAATTCTAGCAAGTAACCCAGATTTTGATGCATGTCCTATTTATTAGCTGGCTTAAACCTAGTGAAAACTTTTGGCTAGGAGTCAGCTAGGTTTTTGTCCATGCTTATGAAGGCCTGCAAAGATCCACAAACATCCATCAAACTCTGGCTATGGACAGGCTGTTAGTTACAGCAGAGCTTCTCAGCCGGTGGGATGTGAACGTCGTCTCGGTGGGACTTGGGTCGTGACGGCGAAACTGGAAGTGCCACGGCAGGATTTCTGGTTTTGCTTTTGTACGCTTTGATTGGATGGGTGACCCCCGCCTCTCTCCGAGAGGCCGCTGGGGGACCGCCCTCCCTGCCCCCGCCTCATTGACTGGTGGGACCAGGACTTTTTGACCTAACGTAGGTGGGACATAAGGTGCAAAAGGTTGAGAACCGCTGAGTTACAGCACTGTAAATTTCTAGGTACCTCGCAGTGCTGCAAAGCACGGTAAGATGGGGGCCATACAAGTAGTCCAGCACCCTGGCTGGGGAGCTACAAGCTGCACAGAGGTAAGCTCTCCATCCAGGGGGTAATAGAAGGCTGTTTCTCCGTTCCCCCTGCCTCAGGGGTGGGCAGTAATTGAGAGCCTGCCCTCTCCCTTGTGGAGGAAAGGGGCAGTCTGTCGATGAGTAGCTGGCAGCTGCTGAAAACAGAACCTGTGCAGGTAATCCCCGTGCCCACCACGGCAGCAAGGGCAAGGAGCACCGCTCTCCTCGGAGTGGGGAAAGAAGCATGGAGGGCTGCGGGACCCCTGTTGCCTCACATGAAACTGGACTGGTGTTATATGCAGAGCTAGAGAACAAAGTTGCTGCTTAAAAAACTAACAGTTCATGGCTGAAGCACCAGGTTTTTTCCACCACAAGCTGCCTGAATGCCTGTACTCTCAGTTTGTGCTGGGAAAAGGGCTTAACAAACGAATCGTCTGTCCATGGCTTCAGATTCTGATGAAAAGCAGAGAATTTACCATTTGAGTTTCATAAATACTACACCTACGTAATTCTACCCAAAGTGCAGCTAAACTGTGATCTATGGTTTTTGCGCTCCTTAGTGGGGCACAAACTCAAAAGAGAAGGGAAGGCAGCTATGCAGTATTTTCTTTTTAGCTTGAAACTAAATCACAACTATCCTTTTATTATACATTGTACATCTTGTAGAGTCTGTAGGTTTCTGATGGTGCTCAAACATGGTGCACTCTTCTAAATTGCTCTATGCAGCTTCTAGCAATACTTTTACTACTACTTTTGTAATAGGAAGTTTGAAATGGAAGGCAAGGAAGATAAAACCATTTTCAGACTATTTTCACATAATAAGTAAAGTCAAAATATTTTCAAGTGTCTACCATTTTGGGCTTCTCTGAAAACAAATTGTTTCCATTAACATTTCTTAAAATAAAAACTGTTTGCTACTGACTTCTGCTGCATCTTTTTATTTTAGTGATTCTGATCATTTCAGAGTTGTTTCCACATTTCCCTTTTCACAGTCCTATTTTAAAGGTTCCAACTTAGGTGTAAAAAAATTGCTCTGTGTTGAACCTTAGGAAAGCAGGAAACAAGCTAGATGTGCACCTGATAGACTAACTGAATCAGAGATGCATAACCACAGCTCACTTCATCAGATGCTTAAAAAAGTATGCAGCCCAACAAATAGATCAGAAGCTCTGGTAACAAAAGGGTCATTTGTTTTATTCCAGGTTGTAAAGTTGTTTGGCTTCATTTCGGTTCCTGCCATGCCACATGGGATGGCACATCAGACCCCAAGCACACCATTTAGGGATTGTGAGCCTGGGTTTCCCTGCACTAGGAGGTAGTAAAAGCTTGGCTCCTTGCACTCCCCCAGCTAGAAGCCCTGATCAGCTGATGGGGGTTCCCAGCCCTGGGCAGCACAGGGGAGCCTTTGGAAATACAAGATCTATGGCTAGAAATGGTGGGAAGGTCCAAACTTACAGCTTCTTTCAATGGCATAAAGACTATACAAGGGTGGAAGAACTGAGGGTTGGCCAAATGGATTGAGAATCGGCATCCAGTTAAATCCAAAAGAAAATTCCAAAATACTTGGACACTTCTTGTTAGACAAAACAAGTTGCTGTTTAAGCATTCAAGCCTGCAAAATGGCAGGATTAAGCTAATTATTTGTTTGCAATAAGATTTGTATTAAGTCAGAAGGGTTCATGCCTTGGACAAGTAGACCCAGAGGGTGGAAGCAAGAGGGCTCCAGCTGCGCAGCAGTGGGGGAAGTAGCTGGGGGTGGGGGGGAGGGGGAGATTGGGAAATCTAGCATCCCACCAGTCATGGACATGTCTCCTAGCCTTCCACTTGCTGCTCCCGCCCTCCCCCAGTGTGACCAAGTGCAATATTGTGCAAGGATCTAAAACCCTTAATTTAGCAGAACGGGGGAACACCCATTGCCCTCTGCCCCTAGCTCTAACTCCAATTCCACACAGCTATAAGCTCCCCTGCTATCACCCCACAGGTCCTGGACACACATTTGCATCTGTTCTGGCACCCCCACCTTAGTTTTCCAGCAGCCCATCGTATTCAGCACCCAGGACTCGTGCCCCACTTGCCCTACCCAGTAATTATGCAACTGCACTAAACTGACACTCATCCGAATTTCAGAATTGGATTTTATTTAAAGTTCTGGTGACAACATTCTGCTGTAATGTTAGCAATTTATTTGCTGCTGCATGTCTCTCATAAAGAAGTAAGAAAAGGTCAGGTCGCTAAGGAGCTGAAATAGGCAAAACTGGCCTTTAAATTAAATGAAATATGATGGTTACACCATTGCCTGATAACAGCACCAGCTATTTTCCTCAGATATATATTGATGTAGATGCTCTGAAACCATCACTTAAAGCTGATGTTTCAAAGAGTCCTTTCTGGTAACTGTTGGGATTTAATATTAGATGAAGGGTTCTCTGAATTGTAACAGTGTGTTCCCTTCAGGGATACAGTTATATGCCAGTAAAATCTCTATGGGATTTATTTGGCATCATAGATGCTTTATTGAAATGATCCTTATCTACCATATTAGATAAACAACATAATTGTGCTGTCATTTATGTAACGTCCAGACAATACTCCAACCTTAGATGAGCATTTTTACTCAGGCTCCCATCCACACTAAACTTAGAATTGGTCAAGGACACAGTCGGCTATAAACACTCTGCGGGCACGTCTACACAAGACGCTAACTGTGTCGCAGCACCAACAGTGCTAATACGCTACTGCACAGTATTACTAGACAACTGCACAGTAGTGTCACTACTGCACATTTATTTAGTATTGGATTATACAAGTACTAAATAAATGCACAGTAACCACTGAGCAGTAGTGTCTCGTGTAGACGCGCTGGTTGTGAGCACAGCAGGGTGTTAAGCATCAGTTAACTGGTGAATCTAAACCGTTTACTGCCTCTGCTAGATTAGTCTGATATTTGATTTTTGTTGCCATAACCTTTTGGGCAGTTGCTATTGCTTGAGGCCTGAGAAGAGACAGAAAATCATTAACAGAGTTCCATTAACAGCCTCCGTAGATCGTGGGGAAGCTCAAACTTTAAATAAAAGCCAAGTTATTATTTTAAGGATATTGCAAGGGGCAGGGACTTCTATAGGTGGTATTTTTTTATTGGACCAACTGTATAACTGTGATAAAGTGAGAAACATTTTCAAATGCATCATATAAGTCCTGGACCATCACAGCTACATCACACTAACACTATTTCAAGAATACCAGTTACTTTGGTTCACACAACTGGGTAGGCCTGGATTTTTTTCCCTGAAGTGCAGTGCTCCCAAAACACGGGACAGCTCTATGCTAGCAGTACTGCAAGGGAGCCACGGTTGCATGCTCTTGGATAGTATCTAGATTACAATCCCATTCCCAACAGTGAGGTTGCTCTTGCACAGCCGGGTTTGCTCTGGCTGCTGGCTGTTCTGTACTTGCTCAGCATCCTGATAACCACACTGTCCTGCCAGTCAGCTGAGCTTGATATGGCTCAGAATGTCACTCATTGTTCAAACTGATATTGTAGAGGGAAAGAAACCTGTAATTTGGGTCAAACACCTCAAGTACTACCTAGACATCCTCTAAGCATGGCTTTTTGCCCTGTATTGCTTCACGGTTTTCATGTGCTAAAGCCTCAAGGCTAAAGATTTCAGCCATCTGAAGCAACAAAGTCTTCACGATACTAAACAGCCATTAATTTAAGATAGAGGATTTTGGAATCGTTAAAACAAAACCTAGGTTGTCAGAAGGAAAGGAAGGTGCTTAAGATACTCATAGTCGTTAGCTATCAGGAAGCACTCCTAGACCCCTGGCAGATGTTAAACCTATGGCAGGATTTGGATCAGAGGAATTTTATGCCCCCTGTCAAGCATCAGCCTCTTATCATAGATAGATAGATGTTAGGGTCGGAAGGGACCTCAATAGATCATCGAGTCCGACCCCCTGCATAGGCAGGAAA